CAACCTTGGCTCTTTTATGACTCGTGGACTTCAACTCCCAGAATTCCTAAGCCAGCATGGGGGAACTATGGCCCCTTCATGACTGGTGGACTTCAACTCCCAGAATTCCTGAGCCATCATGGGGGAACTATGGCCCCTTCATGACTCGGGGACTTCAATTCCCAGAATTCCTGAGCCAGCATGGGGGAACTATGGCCCCCTCATGACTGGTGGACTTCAACTCCCAGAATTCCTCAGCCAGCATGGGGGAACTATGGCCCCCTCATGACTCGTGGACTTCAACTCCCAGAATTCCTCAGCCAGCATGGCTCAGCTTGGAAACCTCTCCCTTTCCCCTCAGCATGGCTGGCTCAGGAATTCTGGGAGTTGAAGTCCACGAGGCATAAAAGAGCCAAGGTTGCCTACCCCTGTCCTAGCAGCTAAAGCTAAGGCGAAAGAACCAATGAGCAAAAGCTTTACAATGGGAGATCCATTCTAAAAACCAGGAGGAATTTTTTTTGGGTTGTGAGAGCTATTGAGCTATGGAACAGCCCGACTCATGAAGTTAGATTTTTTTAAAGACGAGATTGGATAACCATTTCTCTGAAAGGGTATGGGATCTCCTGCCCCGAGCATGGGGTTGGACTAGATGACCTCCAAGGTCCCTTCCAACTGTTATTCTGTTAGCCTAAACGGCTGGTTGACGGGGCGGAGGGGGAGTTTCAAGAGATTTGGGCCGAGTTCAATTAACTTCGGGTGTTTTGTGAGTCTGAATTCACCACCCTCATCACAAGGATGCAAATTTGCGTGCCAGTCCCTCGCACGACTTGCCACCCTGCATGCGGGGCGCCCCTTTCGCAGCCGGGAGGGGTCTTCGGGGGGCTCTCCCCTACCCCCCAGGACCCACGCGCAAGAGGATGTCGGAGCCCAAGCCTGGTGTGTGTGTGTGTGTGTGTGTGTGTCTCTCTGGGGAATTCACAAGTCAGCTGTGGATGCTGGTAGCCGTGATCCAGCGATTCCAGAGGGTAGCGCGTTGGGAAGCCCAGACTGCGCTGCTCTGCCCCTTGTGCTCGGATCGCGCGCACCCCCCACTGGATCGGGCGCAGAGGGTGGCCACAAGCCCACTCCCGCTCTTTCTCTCGCGGAGGGGATCGGGGGGGCCCTGGCGCAGGCGGAGAAGCGTGCAAAACAGGAGCAACCTTGCACCGGTGCAACTCCGGCGCTGCTTCGGGATCCGGCGCAGAGCGGCGCGCCCCTCTTCAAATCCGGACCCGCCGGTCCCGGGGAGCGCGCCCTCCTCCCTTCTTGCCCGTGGCTGGGGATGATGGAAGCAGGAGTGCAATCTGCAGCGGGGTCTTTTTTCCACCTTTCCAGCCTTCCCACCCCCCCCCGCCCCACTTTGCAGGCTCCCCCCCCCCCGAGCCGCGCGCGCGCGGACCCACCATTCTCGCCCGGCGCCCGGATTGGAACGCGGGGGCGGGGCGTCGCCTAGGCAACAGCAATACAGCCGCGTTCGGAAGCGGGAAGGGAAAAAAAAAAAAAAGAGCTCGAACCGCGCGAGGGCCGCCGGGAAGCGTAGTCTCTCCTCTCGGACAGCGCGGGAGGCGAGCTGCTGGGCGCGCGGGGGCTGCCGGGAGGCGTAGTTCCGGGCCCGCGCTCGCCGCCGTCGCCGCTTCCTCCGCTCCGGCCGCGGCCCGAGGAGAGGCCCAGCTCGACCTGGGGAGGCCCCGACTGGACCCCGAGCCGCGTCCCCGCGACGCCCGGGAGCCCCCGCCGGTGGGGAGCGGCCCCCTCGGCCCCCCCCTCCGAGCCGCCGACCTTTGCCCTCGCACGACGGCCCTGCCAGGTGGGACGGCGGAGCAGGTAGGCCTCTGCTTTGGAGGGGGGTGGTGGTCCCGGAGGATGGGGATATATGTGTGTACGTGTGTACGTAGTCCCCGTGTCCATCCCGTGTCCGGGTTAAGCGTGTCGTGCGAACGCGGCTGTGCAAGATACGGGTTTGCCACCCCCCCACCCCAATAACCTGGGGAGGGGGCGAAAGAAGAGTCAGAGGTCCGGGGGGGAGAGGAGGAGGAGGGGGCAGCAGGGTGGGTGGGGGTCTCTTTTCCTCCTCCCCCCACCCCCCAACGATCCTTTGGGTGCCCTTCCTATGGGGGGGCTTCTTGATTTTGGGGGGCTGCTCAAGGGCGCCGGGGGGGGCGGGAATCCTGTTTTGGGACCCTTCATTTCTACTTTGGGGGGCAATTCTGCTTTTGGGGGGCAAAGAGAGCCCCAATTTCTGCTCTTTGGGGTCCAGCACCCCCTCCCCCTCCCCTTTGGCCACTTCTTTCGCCCTTAACAGGAGGCACCCCCCAACTGTGACCC